ATCTATCTATCTATCTATCTATCTATCTATCTATCTATCTATCTATCTATCTCTGAGAGCAGAAGGGCTTGGAGAAGTTCCATCCTCTGGATGGACGGATGGATGGCTTGGATCTCAGGTTAGAAGGTAATCCAAATTGGGTGGGTATGTGGGAATTGGAGGGAAGAAAAGCTGCACTCATGTCCAAGAAAGAAACCATTTGCAACTTTCGAGAATCCCAAGTTCTAATCAGCGGTTTTGTGGTTTATTCCAAACAAATGTTTAAGCTTGTATTTGAAAATTTCTTTTGAAAGAACAACATCTTACCTAATGCTTTCAAACTTGCCAATTCAAAGGTTTCTAAAAGGCGAAAAGCAATTAACAAGCAATTTCCAAAAGTAATAAGAAAAAGGAAATGCATCAGCTTTCAAAGGTGTCAACCGCGGTTTGAGCCAGAAGGCTCTTTCCTTCTCTCCCAGAGCAATAAACCTCCTGCTCTCTTGAAGTCCCTTCACGAGCAGCAGCTGTCTGGAGCGCTCCAGGGCAATCTCAAGTCCTCTCCTTATCCAGAGAGACATTATCATTCCAAAGTTACCCAGCCAGCTTTCATGCCTAAAATGGAACTAGAACTCCCAGCCTCCTGGTGATTGATGCCAAAGTCCATCTTCCTTTCTAGCCTGGTGCCTTAACCATTAGACCAAACTAGCTGTTGTTAGAGTTTGAGCTCCCATCCTCCCCAGTTAAGAGCAACTGTAGATAAGAGAAACTGATCCGAGCCACACATCTCTTGTTACAATTATACTATCATCAGGCTAAAAGGTTCGGGGGCTAAAAGATCCCCGCTTACCTATCTGAAGAAATGATTATTGCCGCCAAAATCGACGGGGTAAAACAGAAGGCCGTGTCTTGCAGGTCATGTGTGTCCAGATCAAATGCTTCCACGAGATCATCACCATCGGTTACAATGTGTACCATTCCTATGAGCTGCCCTGGTTCAGGACACTGAGTTGGTAAGTTGCGGGCAGAGGGGTGTGTTTTGTTTCATTTGTCTGTCTGGTCTGGAGAAACTCTCACCGAGGATGACCCAAGAAGATTTGTCCTCTTTGGTGAGAGTCCTTTTTGGGCGACCACCTATTTAGAAAGTGCCTCTTAACACCGAAAATTCATAAAGTGAATATAGTGTCAACTCATAAGATTCCTAGGCCTGTTTTAGTAGTTGCCATAAAAAGAGGGGAAAGCGAAAGTACATTCCAACTCTTACCTTTAAAAGACTGTCACTAAACTACCAGAGCTTTTGCCTGAAAATATATTTAACTGGAGAATATGAATGATGACACCCAACCTGTGAACGGGCTCAATTGCAGAATCTTTATTTATGACACACCCGGGGGGAGGGGAGGAAACGGGGTCACGGGGGACTGTAAATGACGGATGCTCGAGTTGACTTCATTCAGGGCGGTGTCGGTATGTCGCCTCGAATGGATCCTTGGAAGTTTGGCTCGAGAATCATGATTTAATTAGAGCGATTGCTGGAATCTTATCATATAGAAAACAAAACAAAACCAGAGACTTTTCTTTTGGGTTTAATGGAAAAAAGATTTAGAGGGGAAAAAAAAATTCAGGATGTTATATATGTTTATGGAAGCAAGACTGTGCACAGAAATGAATGGCTGCACAAACCTGTGGAGGGAGCAGAAATGGCTAAATTGACTGTTTTGATCAAGGAAACAAAAAATACAAATAGTTTTATTTTTACTTGGACTTTGTGCTCAGGTTGAGAAAAAACATGAAACTTTGATTTGGGGTTTTACCAGTTAGATAGATTTGTTGTTATAGAAATGGCTCGTTTATACTACTATGGAAAAAATAAAAAGTTGGTGTTTGATAATGCCTTATTCTGCTACACCAAAAGGAGTCAGAAGTCAGTGCCCCCCCCTTTTTTTTTGGCTCTCCCCCACTTTTCCCCCCCATTCTCCCTTCCTGGAACTGGGTGTGTCTAGACATGATAGCAGTCTTCCACTGTCTCAAAGAAGAGGGAGTCAAGCTATTCTCCAAAGCCCGCGAAGGCAGGACAAGAAGCAACGGGTGGAAACTAACCAAGGAGAGAAGCAACTAAGAACTAAGGAGAAATTTCCTAAAAGTTAGAACAATTAATCAATGGAACAACTTTGCCTCCAGAAGTTGTGAACGCTCCAACACTGGAAGTTTTTAAGAAGAGATTGGATAACCATTTGTCTGAAGTGGTGTAGGGTTTCCTGCCTAGGCAGGGGGTTGGACTAGAAGACCTCCAAAGTCCCTTCCAACTCTGCTATTCTATTTCCTGATTCATTTACTTTTGTATGAACTTTGTGTACTATATTATAAACTAACAAAAAAAAACGTTTAAAAAGAAAAAGAAAGTGCCTCTAAAGGGAAGCTAAGTGGGATGGCCTTCACACCTCCAAAACTACCATAGATTTAGCTACTCCCCCCGAGGAATTCTAACCATCCCTCAGGAAAAAGCTCCGGTAAGGCTCCATAGAAAAGCCCGGATGTGTCTTTTTCAGGTACTTCCTGCTCTGTGTCAACTATTTCTTCTATGGCGAGACGGTGACGGATTATTTTTTCACTCTGGTCCAGAGGGAGGAGCCCTTGCGCATTCTGAGCAAATATCACCGCTTCATTTCCTTCACCCTCTATTTAACAGGTAAACCTTGGGGACCCCCTTGCTTGGGTTTACGTACGAGATGACCAGGTGGAGTCCCAGGAAGGGTCAAGCGCATGGCCAGTTTGGGCTCCCTATAGCAGGGGTGTCCAACTCGATTCTCATTGAGGGACGCATCAGGGTTGTGTTCGGCCTCGGGGCCGGGTGGGTGCGGCTGGGGTGGGCATGGCCAGCTCGACATTACTCGTGTTCGGGGCGCCCTTCCCACGCTCCGTTTTCGACTGCGACAGCCTCCTGCAGCGCTCTGTCAGCAAAAACGGAGCTCGGGAGGGCCGTGCACGGCCCTCCCGCGCTCCGTTTTTGCTGACAGAGCGCTGCGGGAGGCTGTCACAGCCGAAAACGGAGCTTGGGAGGGCTGTGCACGGCCCCCCCGAGCTCCGTTTTTGCTGACAGAGGCACCGTAAGCTGGTACTTTGTTGTTCCCAGGGTGAACCCCACGGGCCAGATCTAAGCACCCCGTGGGTTTGACACCCCTGCTCTCTGCTCCTTGTGGGTGAGTAGAGAGCAGGCTACTTCCTCTTCAATCTCGTCTTCTTTCTTCTACTACAGGTTTTTGCATGTTCGTGTTGAGCCTGGTGAAAAAGCATTATCGCCTTCAGTTCTACATGGTAAGATTTAAGTAAATGGATTCCGTGCTTTCAGAGTTTAATAGCCCACCTGGGGGGGGGCAGGGGGGGAGGCTGAGAGGAAGAGAGAGATGGAAATGAACCCCAAAATTGGCACCTTGACACAACAAAGAATTGTTGACCAGGGTTCTGAAATGTTCACGAGCTTTTGAATCCGGTCTGTAAGGCACACCCAATATGGATCATGTGACCATGGCGATGCCGTTACAGTTGTAAGTTCGAGGACCAGTTGTAAGTCTCTCTCTTTAGTGCTCTTGTAACTTCAAACAGTCACTAAATGGATGGTTGTAAGTAGAAGATTGCTGTATGTTTCTGGTTTTGATCACAAAATACTACAAAAATACTTTTGGTCTTGAAAAAAGGAACATTAATGGGAGTTTGGCTGACCCCACCCTCTCTCTCTCTCTCTCCCTCTCCCTCTCCTCCTCCCCCCTTCCCCCTTTGTCATATATATGTTCATATATATATTTATTTATATGTGGGCATGTGTTTTCTTAGCATTTTGGCTCGTCTCCGATAAATGTTTTCCTCTCCAAACTGGACTGCCGTGTTCTCTTTTTCTAGTTTGGCTGGACCCATGTGACTTTGCTAATAATTGTTACCCAGTCGCACCTCATCATTCACAACCTGTTTGAAGGAATGATCTGGTGAGTGAGCGCAGCGGGCGGGGTATGGCGAGACCCCCCCCCACTCCCGTTTTGCCGGGGAGGATGGGCTTGGCGGCCTCCCATAGGAGAGACCTTGTGCATGTAGCTGCCGCATGATGGGTCCTATGGAGAGGAAGGCTTTCGTGGCTCTGTGGCTCAATGGGGGGGGGAGGAGGGCGCATTTACGGGCCAGGGTCCCTGGGGCGCTTCCAGTCTCCGCGGAGCAGAAGGCCCCTGCCTCAGTCTCAAAAACGTCTGTAGGCCAGGGGTCTCCAACCTTGGCCGCTTTAAGCCTGGAGGACTTCAACTCCCAGGATTCCCCAGCCAGCCGTGTCTGTTTCTTTCCCTCTTACCAGAGAGATTGCAGAGGAAGGGATTACAAGAGCTTTGCTGGCTGGGGAATTCTGGGAGTTGAAGTCCGCCAGGCTTAACGTGGCCCTGGTTGGAGACCCCTGACTAAAGAGGAGCGGGTTGCCCCTTTGAAGGTCTCGAGCGGGAGCTGCGTTCACACATGAAGCCACGCGCACGCTTGCCTGGAAGCGCCTTCCGTTCAGAAGCCTTTCTCTCGCTTGAGCATGGTGGGAAAGGCGCACATCAGACCTTCGTATGCTGCGTGCTTTTGAACATTGCTGTTTGGCAGTCCAGCTCTGATCATCGGGTGGGGGCGGGGGGCGGGGTCAAAGCTTGATGGGTGTCTCTTGGTTCAGTTCTGGGTGAAGGAGGGAGGGCCACTTGGGCCTCTTTGCAGCTGTTATTGTGTGTGGGTGTGTGTGTGTCTTTTATCAGGCCACCTCTAGGCGCTTAGAGGAGAATAGAACAGAACAGAATAGAATAGAATAGAACAGAACAGAACAGAACAGAACAGAACAGAACAGAACAGAACAGAATAGAATAGAATAGAATAGAATAGAATGTCGGAATAGGAATAGGAAGAGAATA